AGACAATGCCCTTTTAATGATAACCATATTATTAATAATAATAGCTTATATTAATTTTACTTCACAAAGTACTTTTTTTTTTCATTATTGTAATGCTGTGAGCTAGGTAGCCCCACTTTGAAGATGGAGAAAGAGAGGCTCTAAGAGATTAAGTGGCCAACTCAGTATCACAAAGAGAATGCCTTTGAAAACGTATTGTCAAGTGCTGTCTAAATGCTAGGTATTGTTGTTGTTGTTGCTAAATGAAGGAAAGACTCAATTACGGACAAAGCATCCAAAGTGGAAGGCCCCAGGATGGCCTTCTGATTGTGATGCATCTTGACAATCGTCAAACTCTGAGAGTAATGGCAGATGCCTTAGCCACATATTAAACAATGAGACCACCAATCTGCCATATAAACCACCCTTGCTCCTGGATGATTTCTCAGTAATTATTTTGGGTTAATAGTAGGCTCTCTCTGGGGCCTTAAAAACAAAGAACAAAAATGAAGATGCTTGCACTGAGAAAAATAATGGATTAGGGGCCTGAACTGGTTAATTTGTGTGGTTCTGAAAGAGATTATGGGAGCAAAAGATGGGGTTGGTGAATGGACCTACCAAACCAGCTCCATCTTAACATCTGGGAGGAACTGATGATCATTCTGCAGTTTTGTGAGAGTTGTTGTACTGAAATTGCTTTGTTTAACCACAAATTGTTATAAAAATATGAATTACTGAGAGGTTCTGCTGGTCCTCTCCCTGCCTCCACTAGCTCTTCTATTATTAAGAGATTTGAAAAAAGTTTTATTAAAATTTAGATACCAAACATCAATGTAATCAAACTTGCTTAGGAAAAAATTACATTCAAATTAATTTAAATGCATATGATATCACAATTTTGGGGCAATTCCTCTAAGTTCAATGAGGACACTATAAAGTCCACCTGTCCTAAAATTCTTGCCATTATTTACAGAAGGGCTGTGGACCATTTAGACCTAAAATATCATCTAGTCCCACTCCTTCCTTTTACAGTTGAGGAACCTGGTCCCCAGACTGATTGAATAACTAGCTCGAGGATTAAAAGAGATAAGAAGAGTCAAAGTTAGGATTTGAATCCAGATCCTCTAGTTCCCAACCTACCACTCTTTCCACTACACCACGCTGCCTCAAGATTGCATTAGCATTTTTAGTAATCATATTGAAGGTCCTTTTAAAAATGAATACAAATTATTGAGAAAATGTAGTAGTAAGTCACCAGCAACCATCAATGTTTAATATTAATATTAAACACTAGTTTATCAGATTAACTCTTCAGTCATCTAATAGGATCCTGAAGGAGCTCAGGACTGGTAGGTTTTGATGGGGAAGGATACATAATAATGTTGCATAGCATGGGACCCAGTGTATGCAGGTCAAGGTGGAATACTGGAGTGAGAGGGGACCTTGAACTATGGGGCAGAATCCAAACAGTGCTTACTGGACTGGGGTTGGAAACTAGAAAAAAAAAACCATGGGGCTCCTATAAGGGAGTGGGAGGGACACCCAAATCCTACTTCCCAATTTTATCTTTGACTTGCTCTGTAGCCATCATCCCTGTTGGTGTTTGGGCTGCCTTCATCCTGGCCCTCCTGGAGGCTGTGAAGGTGAAGCAGGCCTTCCATCAGATTGACAGAGAGCTTTCTGAAAGACCACGTCCTAATAAACCCAGGTCTTAGAAGAGCTTTTCTCATGGGTGTATACTTCATTCAAGAGAGAAAAACAAAAACTATCTCCTTTTTTTCCCCCTGGTGGTTTGTCCCTATTGTCATCCAAGTCAGAAACCATCAAAACTGCATCTGCTTGCATTAAAACTAGAACACAGGAGGCCTGCTTCTGCCCCACAGACACAAACAAACAATGTAAGGAGGAGAGGAAGCCCTTGGTTCCTAAGGGAATTCTTGGCTGTTACCTTCAGTGAGAAAACAAACCAGGCTTGTCCAAAGAACAGGGCCATCAGAACTCCAACCCAAAGAATGTGGTGCAGTTTTTCACCACATGAGTGTGAAATTATTTATATACAGATCCAAGTATTTCCTTTCATTGTAACAATGCAGTCAGTGATCTTAGCATGGAGATTTTGGCATTCTTGGTGTTTTCCCCTTAAACCATGTTAACAAGCAACATTTGTCTCTCACCCATTATAACTGAGGGCAATGAAAGCCACCCAAACACAGAGATGATAGACATTCACCGCCAGGGCTGTATCTGAGTTTGCCAGCATAACATTTCCTACTTAGTTGTTTTCAAAGATCTCTTAAGCTGGATCTAGGATGACCCACATTGAATGGATCCCATTAAGGTTTCATTGCAAAAGTGACATCATTTCATTAGCAGTGACACAAGACACAATGGCCAGAGTAAGGGTTGAATCTACAGCTATGAGAAAACTCAGATGTACATCAGTGAGATCAAGGGTGGTCATTGATGGAGTCAGAGAGTTCTCATAGTGATTGACATGGCCAAGGAAAGGAGGACTAACCAGAAAATGGAGTCACCCATAAAATTTCCTTAGGAAGTGAGATGAAAAGGGCCATAGTTGACAAGTAAGTGTAATTTTCAGTGAGCAGGGAAAGAGAGAAACAAAGCAGAGGTTCTTGAACTGGAGTCCAAGAACTGTTAAAAAATATTTTTGATAACTTGATTTCACTGTAATTGATTTCCTTTGTATTCTGTATATCTTATTGATGCACTTAAAATACTATCCTGAGAAGGCAACCATTATTTTCATGAGACTGCCAAAAGATCCATGGTGTGAAAAATATTAATCACTCTTGAATTAGAAGAAGGAAGGGAATGGGACATGGTGAAACAAAATGTCAGTATTTGAAATATGTTTATCATCCTGAGGAGCAGGAAGCTGAAATGTAGGATTATCCTTTCTAATGGAAGACATTTGCTCACCTGACAAATGAGTATTACCTTAGCACCTTTATAATCATAGGATTTTAGAGGGCTTAGCAAACAAATCATACTCTTTCTCCTTTATCAGTAGGCAAATGGGCTCACACATCATGGAGTGAGCTGGTGGCAGAGGTGGGAAGGACATCTGGGACTCCTGATGTCTAAGATCTATTCTATTCTAATGAGTCAACCTACCCACAGAGATAAACCTATAAGTGTATATGGACATACACAATTAGTTATGGGGTAGCACATCTAGCCACGTCTCTTCCAATGGTTGCTTGCATAGGTAAATGTAGTACTCTACATTTGCGCATTCTAACTACATGCTAGTATTCTACCTGGGCTAGTTAGCCCATTGTTTTAAAGTATGGTCCCTTAATAAGGTCAAAGTTGCAAGCTCAGTTCATCTTTTATGGGCTAGTTAGTTTTACTCCTAGAACATTTCTATGACCCACTAAACCTGGAAGCTATTTGAGGAAGACATTGTGATATAAAGAAAGAGCATAAAGATGGGACTGAGGAAACCTGGGGTCTATTGTATGGGGCAGCTAGTTAGTACAATGGATAGAGAGCTGAGCCTGGAGTCAGAAAGACCTGAGTTCAAATCCAGCCTCAGACACTTCTAACTATGTGACTCTGGCCAAGTCACTTAAATTTTGCCTGTCTCATTTTCCTCAACTGTAAAATGAGGATAATAATAGCATTCATTTCAGAGGGTTGTTACGAGGATCAAACGAGATGCTATTTGTAATGTCCGTGGCACACTAAACAAAGGCTTATTCCTTTCCTTTATTCCTATACTTCTATTAACCAACTGGGTGACCAAGTTAGCTGTGTTTAGTGCCCTCTCTTTCTTTCTTACTTTCCACATCTGTACAATATGGAGATTGTCTTTGATAATCTCCAAATTCCCTTCTAGCCGGAACATTCAAAGATGTTGAAAATACATGTTGTTGGTCAGAAGGGAATAGGGCAATAAAGCATAGAGGGCTGGGTAGAAATCTATCACCCCTGAGAATAACGTGTGAAAGCAGTTAGCCTACTGATGCAAGGCCAACCTTTGCATACAAAGCCCAAGGCTCTACTCATCCTCCAGTTTCCTTAACACATTTTGTTAATTTTTAACACTCACATTCAGGTTCTCACTGACATTATTAGTAAGCATTTTATCTTAGAATCCTTGACTAGACTTACACCATCAAAGTAAAGTAAAGAATTGAAGCAATTATCTGAATGATTCAGCCCGGCTAATGCCCAAGTCACTGAGGCCTAAGCTTCTTGGGAAGTTTGTCTCTTTGTTGGTGGTGAAGGAAGAGTTTGCTGGACTTCAATGAATAAATGCCTTAACCCTCTGCTTGGCTTGCCTGGTGAAAAGCTGGCCTCAGTCAAAACACTTGGCATAGGCAAAAGATGCTCTTTTCAAAGCCTTTGAAACTTTCAAACTGGTGACAATTTTGGAAATGGTAGATGCTGTGCATGCCCAAACACTTTGTTGTACTCAAGTCTTTATCCAAAACATGGGCAAAAAAAGGTAAAACTTAGAATTTTTGTTTTTCATACCTCCATTTTAAAAACTAAAAGTTGTTTGAGATTTGGCACCAGAAACTGGTGGTTGCAATTAATGTGTGTCACTTACCCACTGAAGGATGTGCCCAAAGAATTCCCATGAACTTGAATTTAATATGTCTTCAGACTCAATAGCTCATGCTTTCTATAGTGTTTTAAGGTTTGTAAAGCACTTTATACATATTATTTCACCTAACAATAATCCTGGGAGACAGGGACTATTATCTCCATTTTGCAGATGAGGAAACTGAGGTTAAGTGACTTGTTCAAGGTCACACAGCTACTAAGTGTCTGAGGCAGGATTTGAATTCACTCCTATCTATGTTTTCCAGCTCTTTATCCATTATGCCGGGCTTGTTAATGACTTCGACGAACAAAACTCTGGTCACAATGCAAGGATAGTGTATATGTTATATATACATGTATATTTCAAATATGTAAATAATTAGTATTTATGCTAGTAAGAGCATCATGATTTTAAGAATTTTCTCATCTTTCCCTAAATCTCATAGTGTCTTCAATCCAATATGGACTTCAACAACAAACCGCAAAACCATGGATTTGGCTTCAACCAACGAAGCCCACCATTCAGGTGTACCCATCCTTCATGCCTTCTATGTTCCAGAGAGTTCATTACATGGGGTTTCCCCCACTGGAAGCAAGTGGGTATATGTATATATGTGGCAGCAAAATTTAAGAAACTTGAGAACACTAAATATTTAACTAGTCACAAGGCTATAAATTGATTAGTGCCCGGTCGCTGAACCTCAGAATCCAACACTTAGAATGCCTGGAATGTTTGGAAGAGACTTCAGAGGCCATCTCACTAACCTCACTTTGCAAATGATGCAACCCACCCAGAGGGTTGAAGTACCACAACTGGAACCCATCATCTCAATGCACTCCCTAGTTCAGAGCTTTTTCCATTGCTCCTCTCCCCTCCCCCCCATTCTAATCTCTAATTCAGTGTGTCATGCTAGTACTTCTTCCACACTGCCTCATATCATTATTTGACAGCAATTGTTCTGAGTATTGCTTTGAATGTATATTCCGTTCCTCTAGCTAAGAATCATGAATTACTTGAGAGGAGGGATTATCTTCAATTTCTTTCTTTCAGGGTAGCTTAGTGTTGAGCACTCAGTAGACTTTCTGCAAATACTTGCTGCCATGAATTGAACATCTTAGCCAATAACACATGACAGCTGTGGGCTATCTGCTTGGTAGAGAGAGAGAGAGAGAGAGCAGCCCATACACTTAAAGACCTGAAATATCCAATTATGGTCTACCAATGGAAGCTGTTTGTGGACCATCAAGAAACCAGCTGATATTTGACTAAAATCAGTCAATTAATATGATGCTTCGGCTGACTGCTCTGTTTATTTAACTGATGACAATTGTCCTTGGCTGGATATCAGGGCCATATTCAGAATGATTAAGTGGAAATAGGGCTGGGCTTGGAGTCAGGAGATGACACATAGCAATGCCAGGATTGAATTTAGCTTCTCTGACTCCAAGTTCAACACTCTTTCTCACACTGCCTTGTGTCTGGGATTTGAAATGGTAAAATAGATTCCTTCTCCCCTGCCCCCCCCTTTTTTTTTTTTTTGCTTTAGAATACTAGTGCACTAAACAGTTCTCTTGTGGTCTCAATGGTGAAAGCATCTTCCAAGACCAGGGTAGGGATTCTATCAATACAATACAATCATCAATAGATTCTACTGTCCTGTTAAAGCTCCAGGTATGTGCCAGGCAACAGACAGTGCCTATTGTCCAAGGGCCAGCCCAGATAAGTGCACAGAAGCTCATTTTCTGAGGCTTGATAAACAGGTGATGAATTTGTTTTGGCCATGGTAAACCATGAAGTGGACTGAAATACAAAATGGCACTCAGTTGTATGCAGAGCTCTTTGGATTATGCAGTCACAGATTAGTGGAACAGTGGAAAAAGGGGCAACAATTGCTAAGAGTCACAAGCTTCTTAGATCATCTAAAAAAAACACATTACATTGCTGACACATAATGTTCAATGTTTGTCTAAAGACCGGTGAGATGACAGCACAAGAGAAGGAGCTGAATTAATCATTCTGACATTGTTACAATAACTGAAACAAGGGAGAAGAGAAAGGCTCACAGGTTTCCCTTAAAGAAGTGAATAAAGGGGGCAGCTAGGTGGTGCAGTGGATACAGCACCGGCCCTGGATTCAGGAGGACCTGCATTCAAATCTGGCCTCAAGACACATAACACTTACTAGCTGTGTGACCCTGGGCAAGTCACTTAACCCCATTGCCTAGCCAAACCAAAAAAAAAAAGCAGTGAATAAAGGAATTGGTAGAGTTGTTTTCATTCTGTGCCCAAAGGTGTCAAGAAACATCATTTTATGGGAATCTTGGTCATCTCAAGATGCAGTATTCATAATGTGCATCAATAGACATACTGTCATAATGACAAATGTGGCTTTCACATTAGCATGCTTTGCATGAAGGATGAAGGAGAAAAAAAAAGTTCCATGAGGTGACTAACACAATGATGGAGGATATGAGGGATGATAGTGGAAAATAACTTGGAAAATATGGTTCAGGATTAAGAATGATAGAGAATGAAGGTAAGTAGACTGTGTTAGAAGATCTAGGCCTCTCCGTCAAAGATGCTTTAATCAGTAAGAGAATTAAAGGGTACAGGATGTGGGGAGTACCCAATGACAGAAATAAAAAGTGAAATTGGTTATATTAACACACAGGAAATGACTGGTTAAGGATGTAGCAGCAGTCCTTGCAGATTCCACTCCCAGTGTGTAGTCAGATCATCGACTCTTTACAGCAAAGGTATAGTACAAAAGGATGGCCACATACTGATATAAGCAAACTATCCACTCCACAAAATGGAAAATGGAGAAGTGTATGAATCAGATGGCAAACATCTTATGTCTTTGTCAAGTGGCAAGGACAGCCATGACGGCCAAGGGCAATATGAGTTTAGAGTACATGGTCATTTCCAAAACAACCTGTGGAAGGATAATGGAAAATGCAGTTTTGCCTCAACTCCCCCCCCAAAAAAAAAGCAAAATAGTTGAGAATAAAATGAGCTTGAGGAGAGTTTGAAATAATACAAGCTAAGCCAGGTCAATTCAAGAACATCTAGAGATCAAAACAAAAGGAGAGCACCAAATAGATACAAAATGGATCAAATCTGCCAATAAATCTGTAGTGATGGTGCAAAACTCACACAGGAGGAGGACTCCCTACTGTTGGTGAAGTTTTTCAAATGCTTCTATTTCCAGGTGATGTAGTTGCTCCTATCATTGAGGTTTAGAGAACGACAACGCCCCTTCACTGAAATTCTTATATTTGGACCACCTTGATTCTCAACGTACTATGTGAGAAAGTGTCAATGATGCTTAAGAAGATGAAGTCAGGTAAAATGGTTGGACTTGACTAAATACTTAAAGAAGAAAAACTTGCTAGAGAGGCTTTTAAAAGTACTTGGGAATCAATTTTTATATTTTCTTAAAGAAGAGTCCAAACAAATGGAAAAGATCATAGATTACGTGTTTTCAACCAAATTTTTACGAAAGGTCTAAGAACATACCAGCAAGTGTACATTTATGTCACTACTTTTTCATTTATATAAACATTTTTATGAGAATGTCCTAGGAATACATTGAGATATTCTTGATGAAAACATGAGAAGGAAACTGGTAGTAGTATTTCACAGAAGATTTTTGAAAGCATGCCACAATTTTATAGTCACAGAACTAGGGAAAGTTGTAGATAGGACAATGTTCCATTAGGTTTATTGTTCATTGATTTCTGAAAGCATTTGATTTGGTAGAACAAAAAGGCTTTCTAAAAGCTCTCAGTGTCTCTCAATACACGTCAAAGTATTAAAGATTCTATGACAGATAGGACTATAGAGATAACTTTGTTTGATGAGCTGTGAATGCTAACATCAAATGAGGCATTAAAAATGGAAAAAAAGCTCATATAATGTTTTTTCCAGGGTCATGGTGGTTATCCTATGAAGAGTTCAAATAAATGAATGACTCTCTAGTGATGATGCTGTTCTTTAAACGCTCTTATTAACAGATGTCTTCCTAATTGCATCGAGCGCCAGAACACTGGAGAAGGAAAGAAGGGATTTGATAGTGGAGGATGATGTAGAGATGTTAACTTGGGCCACTTGGAAGTTAAGATGGGGACGGGAGGAGAACGTAACCAGAATTATCTCACTGAAGTTGATGCAGAGAAAACGGGAAGGTTGGACTGGCCTCATAAAACCAACTGAAAAGACTCATGAGTCTCTAGGAAAGTAAATGAAGCAAATTGTGTGAATGTGTTGTGAAATGAAGACCCTTGGTTTATTTTAGCATCAAAGCCTTCCATCTTGGCCAACCCCTTCTCCCCCAACTAAAAATCTTTTCTCAGTCCTAGGATTCTGTTTGATCTCCATATTCATTCCTATTTCTGACCCATTTGCAAACTTCTATCTTAATCCCTTTTTTCTCACCATTGACTCCAACTCCGTATGACCAGCCCCCCTCTACCAATCCTCTCCATGTGGGAATCTTCTAATTTTGGCCTTTACTTGTTCCCTAGTCCTTCAGCCCTTGTTGTATGGAACTTTTAGCTCACGAAAGAAAGGAAAAGAAAGAAGGGAGCATTCATTAAGTGCCTTCTATTTGCCAGTCACTGTACTAAGTGCTTTCTAAATATTACTTTACTTGATCCTCATAACAACCCTGCAAGGTTGCTAGCCTAAATCACCTTTTACCTTCATGTTTGGTGACTAGGGCGATGAGGTATACGAGGGACGATAGTAGTGCTATTATTATCCTCCTTTTATAGATGAAGCAGGCAGAAGTTAATTGACTTGCTTGGTGTCCCTCAGTTAGTAAGTGTCTGAGGCAGGGATAGAACACAAGTCTTCCTGACTTTAGACCCAATACTAACTAACCACTTACCACATATAGGCTTAAGAGAAATGGTAACCCCACAATTTAGAGCTAGAGAAACTGAAATAAAGTTACCACCAATTATATTTAAAGTCACACAGTGGCAAGAATTCCATCCAGGAAATAGTGCTTCTGAATATTAGAACCATGTGCTCATTCCTCCCCCGGCTCTATTCCCTGCCTCCCAACCCCACCCCAGGTTGTTTCATGTATGCTAGTGACTAGATTTCTTTATAGACAGATGTAGCTGCAAGTGTTGCAAGACAATATTGGAAAAGAAAATAAAGAAAATGTAAAAAAAAAAAAAGAAGAAGAAGAAACAAACTAATCCAGAGCAGCAGAATTCTGTCTCACACTTGAAAGTTCTGGTCTATGTTTTCCACCCACATTGAATTTTTGGCTAGGAAAGAGGCACAAATTGGAAGAATCCTCAGAGAAAACCATATGAGGATCATTAGAAGAGTCCCTTCAGTACATATTGCCCAAGCAACTCAATGGGACCCTGAAGCACAGAACTGAAGCATGGCATTTCTTAGCATTTAAAAAAAGTTCAGGTTTTATAGATGATCCAAGGGGAAAGAAAGCAATTTATGTGCTCATACTTGGCATCCCCAGTCTCCACAGAGGCCATATGCAGTTGCCTGCTGTCTCACTGCCACATTGATTTGGGATATGAAGAATAAGCTCATTTTGTCATATGAAAATGGATAATTTAATGCTTATGACAGAGGTGTTTTCATTTCATGTGGAAAAAAAGAAGATGATGCAATTCCACTGGACATTTAGAAAATGTTTTGCTCAATAAGCAAGTGATTTTACTTTTACTGTTTCCCAAGCAATTGGTTTCACTGGGACAAACTTGACAAGGGTGGGGAATCTGCAGCCTTGAGGCTACATGTGGTCCTCTAGGTCCTCAAGTGCAGCCCTTTGACTAAATCTGAACTTCAGTACTTTCAGTAGTTTGGATTCAGTCAAAGGGCTGCACTTAAGGACCT